TTCCTTTGATCTCTGCCTATCCCGTGGCTCATTTTAGCCTGAGGAGCTAAAGCCATTCATAGGGTAATACGTCCCAGGCGGCTGGTCAGCCTTTTATATAGGGATGGTTTTCTTGGTTCAATGTCTCTGCTCAGTCTCTGCTTAGTCTCCACTCTGGTAAAATGCATTAAAGCTTGTCTGCAGAAGGATCCGAGTGTCCTGCGTGTATTTCTTGCTGGCGAGGAATACAGAGCGGGCGCGGGACAGTTCCACATTTAAATTTAAGAGAGCCTTATAAGAGGTATCAGTGGGTAGTTTTGCCTCAAGGCATGGCTAATAGCCCTACCATGTGTCAAGTTTGTTTCTCAAGCTACACAGCCAGACAAAAATATCCTCAATTGTATATAATTAATTATATGGATGATTTATTATTGGCAGCTCAAAAAAAAGCTATTACTATCTGCTTTTGGAGATCTTCAGAACATCTTAGGATTGGCTGGTTTACAAATAGCAACAGGGAAGATACAAAAAGAATTTCCATATCATTATCTAGGACATCACTTGCTTCATAATGGGGTGTACCCTCAAAAGATTAGTCTTTGGCTGGACACCCTTCAAATTTTAAATGGTTTTCAGAGGCTTCTTGGTGATATTAATTGGATCAGACCTAGTTTAAAAATTACTATGGGCAACTTAAACCTCTCTTTGATATATTACAAGGTGATTCAGATCCCAACTCTCCTCAAGTCCTTACTACAGCAGGATGGGAGTGCATCCATTTGATTGAAAAGGCCTTAGAAGGAGCTAATTTGGATTATATAGATTATGCCCAATCTTTAAAATTATTAGTGTTTTGTTCTGCTCATGCTCCTACAGGAGTTTTTTTTGTTTGTTTGTTTGTTTTTTTTGCAAGAGAGTCCTATTCCTTGGGTTCATTCTCAGGCCTCCCCATGTAAATTAATGGTATCCTACCCCCAAGCTATAGTTGCACTCCTATTTAAAGCACAAAAGATTGCTTTACAGACTTTGGGTAAGGAGCCAGATCAGGTTGTTAAAACCTTCGTACCATCAGCAAATAAAGTGCCTACAAAATAATAGTTATGATTGGGCCACTTTTCTCTCTGCTACCCAGAGTGATTTTGATAATCATTACCCATCCAATAAAATAATCTGGTTTCCTTTTTTAAGATGCATCCTTTGATTTTCCCAAATATTATAGTCTCTCAGCCTACTTCCAAGGGGTGAGTGGTTTTCACAGATGGTTCTTCAAAAGGGACAGCTGTAGTTGTATCTTATCCTGTCAGTAAGACAGCCAGAATTGCTACAGCTTCTGCCCAAATGGCTGAACTTTTTAGCCTTGGCCATGGCTCTACAACTCTTCCCCAGGGAAGCACTAAACATCTATACTGATAGTCAATATGTAACTCAAATTGTCCAACCCTTGGAGACAGCTGCCTATGTTGCCCCCGTCTCCAGAGTACAAGAGAGTTTGTTACAGATACAGGGTGTGCTATAGCAACAGAGCAAAGCTGTATTTGTGGGACATCTTAGGGCCCAAACCCATTTGCCAGGACCCCTCAGTGAAGGAAATCACATGGCCGAAAGATACACTCAAATCATTGCAATTTCACAAGAGCTCACTAGAGCACAATCCTTACATAAGCGCTTTCATCTCAGTGCAGGGCCATTACGCTTTCATACTGGGATAACCAAGGAACAAGCTTTTCAAATAGTTAAAAATTGCCCTCTTTGTGTAGAATTTCTTCCTGTGCCTTACTTGGGAGTTATTCCCTTAGGAGTGTTGCCCAATCATGTATGGCAGATGGATGTAATGCATGTGCCATCCTTTGGTAAATTATAATTTGTCCATGTTTCTGTAGATACTTTTTCCAGATTAATATTTGCCTCTGCCCTTTCTGGTGAAAAGGTAAAAGATGTTAAAAGCCACTGTCCACAGGCTTTTGCTTACATGGGGGGTCCCAAAACAAATTAAGACTGATAATGGCCCCACTTATGTCAGCAGAGGTTTCAATCAATTTTGTCAAGATTTTGAAATTACTCCAAAAACTGGTATTGAAAGACTTAAAAATTAGCAAAGAAATATAGCCCAGAAACTGACCAAGGCTACTACTATGACTTAGTGCCTGGAATTTACCAGCCACCAGCAATTACTCCCTTACAAGGCCATAAGATAACTGGGTACCAAGAATTCCCAGATGGCCACCCTCCCCAAGGGGCTCATGAAGGAAACAGATTGCTCCACTGGCCAATATGTCAATAATTAACAATTAAAGGTCCCTATGAAACAAAGATAGCTACCATTAGTTAGCACATCCTGAGGTCTGCAGGTTTTACAACTGGTGGGGTCAGGAGGCTATCTGATTCCCAGGCCTCCCCTCAAGACAAAGGGCCTCCTAGGAACCCATATTCTGGTCACATATTCAACGGACAGAGAGTTGACGCCCCTCCCTAAGCTTATGGTTTTTGCCTTTAAAAACCACCTGTGCCTGGGGGACAGGGCTGCTCTCTAGCTTGCATGCTGAGAGAGCCCGTTTGTACAATCGTCCACCTTTCATTAAAGCCTCTTGCTATTTGCATCAAGTTTCCGCCTCCTCATGGTGATTGGGGTGGCTGAGGTCCTGGGAAAAGATACTGGAGACCTGAGCTTGGGGGGGGGTGTCTTACAGTATTCCTTACAACCCCCAAGGGCAGGCTATTGTGGAAAATGCCCATCACACTTTAAAAGCATATTTAAAGTAAAGAAGGGGGACCTTGAGGGTCACCTTGGCTCCCCTCACTCTACTCTATCACTCATCCTATATATCTTAAATTTTTTAATTGTGGATGATTCTGGCAACTCCACAGCTTACCGTCATTGGTGGTCCTCTACACAGAAAAGACCTCTGGTTTAATGGAGAGACTTTCCTTTGAGCCTATGGAAAGGGCCAGATCTGGTTTTGGTGTGGGCCCTGGGGGTCTGTTTGTGTTTTCCTACAGGATGACAAGTCCTTAATTTGGGTTCCAGAGCATTGTGTATGCCCAGTTCCTGCTGATATGCATCAGCCATCTTATGACCCATTGGGCCTTAATGAGGAACCTGCCTGTCATGATGCCAGCAGCTCTTCAGAGTCAGGCGTGGCTGGTTATGGTCGGCTCCAACCTTAGCCTGGGTAAGGCAGCCAGCAGTAAGGATTTAGAAGAAACAAATTTCCTGATTGTTGGCCTTAAGATCACCCCCTCAACCTGGCCCAAGTTGTTGGCCAGATCTGCTTAATTAAGCCAGAAGTCATGCCAACTTTTTCCGGCATGTTCCTTCACAGGCTTTATGCCTGCTTAGATGAGGTCTCTTTGCTGCCCAATTTAAAACTTGCAGTGTGTGTTCTTCCACCCTTTTGTTATGCTCAGTAACCCTCCCCCAAGAGAAGTGCTCAATTGTTCCCTCCAGGAATACCACCTGAAGAAACTGTTGGAATGGGAAAATATCAGCCTTGGTGGTCCGTGTTCCTGGTATCATGCCTATGCCAGTGGAACACCCAGGAAAGAACCAGCTCATCCTTATACGACTAGAGACATTTTTTGACATCAAAGCAGCCATTGTGGCCACTGCCAAAGCCGCTATAGTTTCAGGAATGGCTGCCTCTCAGTCACTTCCCACAGCAGGCACACTGGATAGTTCTCAGGGGAGGTTCCCTCTGCCTTAAGTCCCCCAAATAATATCTGCTCCCTACACAAAATTGGGCACTTTCAATTTTAATCAGCAAACTTTCTTTTATTTCCCAAATTACACGGCTCAATTGGCTACTCAATTTACTTAAACTTGTGAGACCAGGGTGCCTCCCCTTTCGGGAGACTCCTCCTTTTTTTAGGGGGGGGACTATTACTGACAGGTCAATTTAGGAATGGAGTGGATCGCTAGCCCTCGGGATTAAGAGCCCTGGGCAGCGCCGTTTTTCAGTCCTAGTCTACCCTTGCCACATGAGTTCAGAGTCATTTGTGGACAAAGCAAATCATGCTTTCCTTGACAGCAGACTACCCCTCAAGCACAGGTCTAGCTGAGCCTGCAAGATAAATGAGTAATCAATAACAGGTAAGATTTGGGAGACATCTTTTAACCTAAGACAGAGGGTCTGCCAGGTCTGGGCAGGCTTTTCATTTATGGGTAAGACAGATGTTGACATCCAGGGCAACCTAAGACAGATGCTTATTTTTTGTTTATATATATAAAAGGGGTGACCTGTTGGGACCCTTTTTGGGGTCTGCTGATCATCTCGTGACTAAGGGTAACCCATTGCGGGGGGGGGGGGGGGGGAGACACACACACACTTGCGGGCATGAACCTTGCTTGACCGGAGTATTTTTCCACTGTGGCTGTTTGGTATATAAGTATACTCCCCTTTGAAATAAATGGCATTCTTCTTGCAAGAATGACCCGCTGTCTTGTCTTTAGTCAATCCTCAGATTCCCTCGCTTGAGAACCAGTGAGAAGCATTGTAACAGAGACCAAACAATGTGGTCATGAACTTTAAGGGTAAATACAAACATGATGCCCCAACAGGTAAAGCCACCTGCCCCACAATGAATAACAGAGGAAAGACTGGGCCAGATGGTCCAGAGAAGACCAGTGGAGCAGAAGGATCCATCCCTACCAACCCTGCTATAGTACAAAACCTGCTCTAATGCCCAGATACTATCAGAAGAAGAGAGAAAAAGGGAACTGCAGGAATTTTGGAAGTGGAAGTTTTTACCCCCCAAAACATAAGAAACCAGAAGAAAGTAAGTAGGGTTAATAAGATTTAAGGGATTTCTAACCCCTCCTCTATTTCCGCATTTCTGCCTGACTTCTTTTTCAGTGGACAGGGACTTTTTGCTTGATTTAGCTTAATCACAGAAAATAAGGTGTTCCTATTCCTCTGCAATACCTGGAACAATGGGATCTGCATTTTAACTCTGCCAGAGTTAAATGAACTGGACTAAAATCTAGTAATAGTGCACATTACATGGATATTAGAAGGCTGACCTACCTGCCAGGCTGAATTTGCAGAGTAGAGGGAGCATCCACAGTGCCAAGGTCTGCATTGTTCCAGAATTCAGCTGGAGACAGCTCAAAATGTCATCAGTCAAGTGAGAGGTTGCTTCCTGTCTCTCTAACAGCACTACTCCAGTGACAGATTCTAAGCATTTGGGCAAGAAGCAGAGTTTTATTTCCATCCCACTCCATCCCATCCATCCTCCCTCTCATCCCCCATTCCATCCTCCATCCTATCTTATCCCCCATTCCATCCTCTATCCCATCCCATTCCCTATCCCATCCTACTGGTTGTATGTCACAACACAGACCTTTTCATAATTATTACATCAACCCCAGTCCAAATTTTAAAAATGTGTACTGGCAACATGTTTTTCTTTTGTCCACAATGCATGCCACTCTGCAATACCCAAAGCAAATGACCACCAAGAACAGGCCTGAGACAGACAGAAGATAACCACGAATCTATACAGATTGGAAGCCAGCTTCTAGCCTTTGTCTCAGTTACAAAGCTCTGAACCAAATGCAATCACCCAGAGCTTCCCAGAAATTCTATTCTATTTCATGTCTCCAAGTGGTGTGTGTGCCTACCAGGGCCCTTTTCCCATGTAAGATTATGTATTACTTTGCTTTTGTACCTAGTTCTTGGCTTGTAACTCCTTCCCCAAGGCAGACCATAGAAACTGAAGTTTCTTTTTCCTGAGATGAGTCATAGAGACACTAAGAGAAATCCTGATTTCTCCTTTCTTTCCTTTTCTTCCTTTCTTTCTTCCTTGCTTTCTTTGCTGAAACAGGGTTCACACTGTAACTAAGGTAACCCAATAGCTTTATGTGGCCAAGATTGACCTTGGACTCACAGCAGCAATCTTCCTGTCCCAGCTACCTTAAGTGCTAGGATTCCAGGCATGAGTAACCACACCAGCTCCTCCTGCCATCTCTATCTGGCTACTGGGCATACACAAACCCTCTTTATCTACCTGTTCTCCTCCTGTAGGATCAAGAGTCACACAACTCTTGTCATTGCAGAGGGAGCCCACTCCATTCCCTAGAGGAAGAAAGTCTTCACACACAGACTTGCTGTTTTTTTCTATCCAGCCTACTAGCAATCAAGCCTATACAATGGCGGAAACCCAAAGGATATGTATGGCTCCTGGAGCCCTGAGACAAATGAAGATTAAAATGAAGCAGAGGCTTCTGGAGATGTGTGGAAGTTCCAAACCTCGACCTCACACCTTCTCCTATTCGTCTCTATCTGTATGTTTTCTAATAACCTTTCATAATCACCTGATAAGCCTGGTTCTCTGAGTTCAGTGAGTTGTTCAAAAAAATTAGCCACATTCAAGGAGGAAGTCATAACAACAATGACTTATAGTCAATTGTTCCAAAAGCAGAAATAAAATGACCCAAGGCTAGCAACTGCTTTTTGGGGGAGGGAATCTTGGTAGTTTCTGCTTCACCCAGGGGGGTCTGATGTTATCTCCAGGAAGATAGTATCAGAACTTAATTACAGTAGACGACTTTTCTCTGGCATCTGGTGCTACAGAATCAATTGTTTGCTATGTGAAACATCTCCACCCATCTGCTATTAGAATTCTGTGATGACTGTGGTGTAGCAGAAGAAATGAAGGCATTTTGTTTTGCCTACCACATCCTTATTCCTGGCAAGTTAATGACTTTTAGACTTGTGTAAAGACCAATCTATCCTAGGATGCCCGCCCTGAACACCCACTGAACCTTCCTTTGAGCCTCATCCACTGAGCTGCATGAGTGGTTCTCAGAACATACTTGCTGGCTCACCCACATCCTGGTAGCACTGTAAGAATAAAGCCTATTCAGTACAGTGCCTGCTACATGGTAGACATTCAGTATTGCTTATGTAGCATAGCTGATTATAAGGAATAAAACAAATGCTAGCTCAGGGCTAGGAAACTCCAAAGATGAGGTAATATAAAAGCATAACTCATTCCAGGAAGAAATGAACAATGCTACATTTTCCTGTGACAGATCATGGGATATATCTGTGGCATAGGGACAGTGCTAAACAAAACAAACAAACAATCAAATTTCTGAAGAAAGCTACAGGGATAAAATTCTCTTATGTACAAGACGACCAAAATGCCTACTAAATGAAAATACCTAATCAATCTAAATGAGATCTTGGACCTACAGGAATAAAAAATGGTCACGAGTGGTGACACATGCCTGTAATCCCAACACTCAGGAGGCTGAGGTCAAGGTTCAATTGTGAGTTCACCACCAATCTACTCGCCTTAACAAGTTTGAGGACAGTTTAAAAACAAGCTCAATTCCTAAAACTGAGAAAACAGTAAGAAGAACAGAAACGTTATGAATGAAAGCGTGGACTGTTGGTTGTAGAACAGCAACAGTTAATGCCTAATGCTACTCTACAGAATTTCTTCACTTGACATGTAGCCACTTGAATATAAATGAGTATAGGACACCAAGGGAAACATTTAATTTCCCAATGAAGAACAGATAAGTTTTTAAAAGTTTATCATGTGGACCAGCAAGATGGCTTAATGGGTAAAGACATCTGGTGCCAAGCCTGACTATCCAAGTTCAGATCCCAAGCTCCACATAGAAAAGAATTGATCCCTGCAAGCTGTCTTCTGACCTCCAAAGGTACACTGTGATATGCATACACACACAAATGTAATAAAATAATTTAGAGATAAAAACAAACATAAAAAGAAACAAAAATAATCATTGCACAATAACATTCTTCTGCTTCTCATTGTTAGAATTTATATTAATCTGTTTCTAGTTTAGGAGAAAACGTGTCTTTTAGTCTTCACTCCCACTTTATCTACATGTTCAAAAGCATTATTAGAAAGGGAGGGAGGTCCAGATATGGAAATTACATAAAACAGATGATACCAGTCCAATAACTGAATCAATGAATAATTATCTATATAATATAAAGCTAAAACTGTTACCAATAAGATATTTTCATTTCTAAACCTATGGCTATTTTATGCTAAATAGTTTGACATATGATATTTTTAATTAATGCCAATATCACTTCATTCCTTCATTGTGAGAACACTTACCTGTTATCTGTGAAAGTTTAAAAAGAAGCTCACGGCAATATCACAGCCAGGGACACAGCTGGAGAGCTCACAGTTGAAGAGAGTGACTTTCTAGAAACTAGACACACTGGCAGCTGGATTTCTTCGATTCATTTAGCATTGCACACAGGGAGAAGAGCCCAGCTCCCACTTCCAAGAGCTGGGTTGTGGCTTCTTAACACGGCACAAAGATAGGGAGGACAGCCAGAGTAGTTACTTTGTCAAGCTACCAATGCCAGAGTGAACTGCTATTACTGATGGCTGTCATGCTGTAATTCCTCCAGAGAGTTTGAGCACAAAACTGATGAAAATCTTGCGTTTCCTTGTAGGATGACTGTGATCTTAAATATCCCATGGCGATGATAGCTATGCAGGGAGTACACAGAGTAACTACTCCAACAAGCACTGTCCTCAGGATGAGGGCCCCCATTCTAATGTGTGTTTGTCACAGGGACTTTTCCACTTGTCATTCTTACTGTAAAACACCACATCAGAAAGAATTGTCTGTGGGCTGGAAATGTTAATAGATGAGCTTCTGAACTACTCTCCCAGTAGTTCAGAAACAAACTCAGGGACTTCAACCAGTAAATTCTGTGTATGGAGGCAACAGAAGAGCCTGAGTTCATGCAAAACTTCAGCGAAGGACCTGTATATCATCTCAGAGAGGGAGATATGGAAAATCTTTGTAGTTGGATTGCAGGAGAAACAATCCACATGAGAAAATTACAGATGCTTTATTAAGCTAATTAAGACTAAACTGAGTCTCAAAGCCAGCTTGGTCTACAGAGTGAGTGTCAGGACAGGCTCCAAAGCTACACAGAGAAACCCTGTCTCAAAAACAAAACAAAATAAAACAAAAAAAAAGAGAGACTAAACTGAGTCCTCTAGCTGGCTGACCAAGGGCAGGCTCATGCCTAGGAAGAACATTTGCTATTCCATTAGGAGCCTGCCTCCATCTGAATCCCCCCAATATCCTTTGGGCCCTAGTCCTGAAGTGAATAGTACACATCCCTATGAAAGAGGCCCCATGTACTTTGCATCCTCCACCAATAGACTCTGTCCTTATGCTTATTGCAATCCCTTCCTCTAGGTCCTAGCCCTAGGCTATCTTTCTCAGCCAATAGAATTAACAAGTTTAAATTTGGAAGAAAAGTAAACCACGAGGTCAGTCTCTGGAGGCTCCAACTCAGTGCTTGCAAAAACAGCACTGTCTCCAGTTTCAGTCTTCACTTTCTGTGAGTCATCCAACCCTTGCCACAGGCAGTGAGGCTTCACAGATGGTTTAAGAGAAGTGACTCATTGCTTATGAGTAGTTGCTACACAAGCATGAGGACCTGAGTACAAATCCCTGTAACCCATGTAAAAAGCCAGGCATAGTCACATTTGTGCCTATAACTCCCAGCTCTGGGGTAGATGGATGATCACTGGGTTTTGGGGCTGCCAACCCAGCTCCAGATTAAATGAGAAACCTTTTCTCAAGGGAATGTGGTAGCCAGTGTTAGAGCAGGATGCCAAGGTCCTCATCTGGCCCCTCTCATTCTTTTAGATGCTGATTTGGACCCTAAAATTATTAATAATAGTCTCAGCTTTATACAGCACTTACACAGGAATCTTTACTTAGGTCCTTAAAGTAAATTAGATAACTTATTTGTTTCATATTTATTTACAAATTTATAATTGTATAAAATATATTTATCTATTATATTTTAGATTAAGTTATATAAAATTGCTATTTTCATAAGTCAAACTCAGCCAAATACTAGCAATTTAAACTTAGTAAGTAATGATCCCCTTACTTTTTATATGAGGGTATGGAATGCTTTCCCAGGATGAAATTAAGAGATGTCAGATATCCTTCAGTCCTAAAGTCAATAAACCCATTTGGGAAGTGAGCTGTTCCAAGCAAGAATCCTCTAACTAGACTGGCAATAACACAACATCAATGCACCAGAAAGATGCCCACTGGGTGCTAATTACATTGCATAAATTGTACCATTATCTACAAATCCCTGTAGAGCTGGCATTACCTCTACTTCATAGAAACACAAATTGAACATCAGAGATAAACATTTTTGAAATATTTATTGAACAAAAATGCTTACAGTCTGTGAAGGACAAAAACAAATCCAAGCTCCCCAGTGTAAGTTCTCAAGTAAAACTGTTTGGTAACTCTATGATTAATTCTCCCTCATCTCTCCTGCTTCAAAACTTCAATACCCACAAGGATTTTGCTCCAACTCACTGAGGTATAAGTTTCCCTAGTCTACAGTTTAAATCTATTTTGTTAAGAAAATTTTTCCAACCATTCCCTCTTGACCCACCTACCATGACTCCTAGTCACAGCTTTAAAAACATGACCTTCTAAAGGAGTCTACTGTCAAAAGCTGTCTCAGAAGTGACCCAAATGATGGGTTCCAACCCATAATGTCAGCAAGCAAACCCATACATAGCAGGAAAAAGGGAGTTTGACTATCAACAAATGAGTCCTCACACTCACCTTCATGATTGGGTGTTGCCCTGCAATGTCCAGCTGGTATGGAGTTGTGGAAGCCAATGATAATATGCTTTATCCTCAGGAAGATATGTGCTTCCTCTGCTTCTCTGAGGGCTTTCCTTTGGCTTTTAAATCCAGCCCAACCCAGGGTGGCACTTACCCACTTGTGCTGGGAAATGGGTTGCATTACTGTAACTGCACAATTAAATAATCGCCGGCTTTTGCTAGACCACTCAACTCTAAAGGAAGAGCAATCTGAGAGGCCATAAACAACTTTAAAAAAATTACTCAACTTTCAAGTTTATATTTGGGAAGTCTTGACAAATGTGGCAGTGGATAAGAAATGGTTTGAGTATCCTCAACTTAACAAAAGAAATATGCAACCATGACATGTGCAAGCCAGGAAGGAGCTAGGAGGAAGAAATAATGGTAGTTAACTCTGAAAAGAGGTTTGTAGTTCTTATTTCTATCTAAACAGAACTGTGTATCTACATATGAACTGAGAAAGAACCTGGCTTAGTTACCAACACTAATGCTGAATACTAACAGTATATTACTCCTTGCTATGTGCTGGGGTCAGTACTAAGATCTTTAATTTCCTCACTTGATCTTCACAATGATCCTGTGAGCCTGACAGTAACCCTTACTGCACAGTTGAAGAAACGGAATTCAAAACAGTTGAGAAATTGCACAAAATGTGGAGCTGTGCTGGCTAATTTTATGTCAACTTGACACAAGCTATAACCATCTGAGAAGGAGGAGCCTCAATTGAGAAAATACCTGTATAAGATCTGGCTGTAGGCAAGACTGTAAGGCATTTTCTTCATTAGTTACTAATGGCAGAAGGCCCAACCTGTTGTGGGTGGTACCATCTCTGGGCTAGTGGTCCTGGGTCTATAAGAAAGCAGGCTGGGCAAGCCATGGGAAGCAAGCCAGTAAGTAGCACCCCTCCATGGCACCTGCCATAGCACCTGCTATCAGCTCCAGCCTCCAGGTTTCTGTGTTGCTTGAGTTCCTGTCCTGAATTTCCTGAATGGACTATGATTCAGGAAATGTCAAACAAATGTCAAAAAACCTTTCCTCTACAAGTTGCTTCCCGTCTCGATGTTGAACCACAGCAGTAGAAAAGTAACTAAGATAGGAACCAAGAACCAAGGCCATCCGATGTTGTTTCCTACACACCAAGGTCACATTAAATGATCTGTGGGATCCCTTTGAGTGCCACAATTTTGCAACCTTTTCTGACAACTGATAAAATCAATGACACAAAGAAATAAAAACCAGACAAGAGGTTGTGGTGCAACAGGGAAGAAACACAGCATACATTTTAAGATAAGGTATATTTTCTAGACTGATGCTTTTTATTTTAAAACCACTTCCCATTTTCTTTAGGCAATGTTCCACTATGTAGAAGAAATTACCTAAAACACGGGGTGGGGGGGGGTACAGACTTAGTTGTTTATATAGTAAACATAAACATATTTAGTCTTGCTACAATGTACTACATAGAAAAGCTAAATAATAGCAGAAAGTACAATGCACTTCTTTATTCAACTAATACTTATCCCCTAATACATGTAGTGAAGGGAATTCTAGTTATGATATAGCCAATAGAAGGTATCTGCCTTCATTCTCTCAGGAAAATATAGATCCATAAACAAAATAAATGAGAGAGAGAGAGAGAGAGAGAGAGAGAGAGAGAGAATATGAATCTCTCCCAGAGATGAACAGCCTCATCAGTTATCCTGTACAAAGCGGCCAGCCCTGAAATTATATACACACAGGTCACACTAAACAGACTCAGCAGGCTGTGTTTATGTATTTATATTATATGTAACAATAATAATCAAAATGAGGCCATCAATTTGAGAGGGAGTAGGGAGATAAGAGTTTTAGAGAAGGAATATGGGAAGGGTTGGAGGGAAGAGAGGTAAGGGAGAAAGTATTACAACCATATTTTAATTAAAACTTTAAATGTATTTTTTCAAAAAAGTAGGACACGAAAAAGTGCCAGATAAATTGTTAAACAAGAATGCTGAGGCCTACAAGTATCTAAAGAATATCAATGGAAAATAAGCATAATTATGTTGCATAATTCCACATTGTTCAGAAATCTGTGACACCATTTGGCACAACTGACCATAATTTTTCATGGCTTTTATTTCTAAATTTGCCTACTTGTTACTATTTATTTGTAAACTCTCAAGTGAATACAGTATTTTCGGTTATTTGTAGATGTTTTAAATGACCACATGCATAGTTTGGCGAGCTAGGTACCATTCACAAGTCTATGGGATGTCTTTATGAAGCAGATGTTAGACAAAGGTTCATCCAGGCATGAATTATAGTATTTAGCCTTGAGTTCAGTGTTGATAAATCAACAATATACTACAAATAAGGATTTTTTAATGGAAACATACTCAAAACACACTAGGTTGTGCACTATTTAGGTAATGGAAAGATCATGAGAGAACTAATATAATTCCCAGAAATGAAGATCACTTGTTCCTAGATAAAAAAAAAGTCCCACTGCTACCTAGCATACTAATTGAAAACAAATCCACACTAAAGAACAAAACAGAGCTAAGGCCCAGAGGAACCCAGCCCTGTATTCCCCATAGGAAAATGGTTCAATATTTGCTAATTCAGAGAATATAGACTACTAGAATTTTCCCCAGCCCCAGAAAGCTCAATTGACTTAATTCCCCCCACCACGTTTGCACAAAAATAAGTGGGGAAAAGGAGATGCATTATACAATACAAAGTATATTTAATTATGAACTTATTACTAAAGCCCTTAGGAAAATAAGGAAAAGGCCATACCTATACAATAAGAATGATATGCTAAGAAATATCCCTGAATAGAGAATAATAGACCCTTTAGAAGTCTAACACATGGAAAGTGAAATCTAAGTTAACACAGTGTTCCAAAACGTAGGGAGAAATCCTGATTACAGGTACCACTGACCATACCCACTTGGGCGTGATCAGAGTTATGTAACAAAGGTTTAAGAAGGAGGGAGGCACTCATGAGGCTCTCTTTCGCCTGGCTGAGCTGACTAGAAAGCATTTCAGGGTCTGTCCTGCTCTGGTGCAAACCTGGTCACTGGCTCCCTTGGGTGAGTACTTTTCCCTAATAAACTACTTGTTATCAATCTATTTCTGACTCCACTTTGTAAACATTTATACCACAGTGCAGAAGAAAAACCAAGGATATGAAGTATAACTAACACCTGACAACAACTGGTTCTAGAAAGAGAGAAATGACAGGAAGAAATAGTGAAAAAATTTCAATTCCCCAGAATTGGAGAACACTGCTGACTAGACTGATGGCTCAAAAGAATGAAAAAAAAAAAAAAAAAGGCAGACATTGAAACTGGAAAGGATTTGCTGTTTTGTCAGAAAGTTTGGAGGATTAGTGCTAAATAAGCTTTAACGTGTAAGATCTGTGAAATGGCTCAGTGCACAATGGTACTTGGACTACAAGCCTGACAACCTGAGTTCAATACCTGAGACCCACATGGTAGGAGATAATCGACTTCCACAAGCCAATTTGCCACATACATACTGTGATACACGTGTACCCACACATACACAACATGCACTCACAAGAATTTTAAATAAATATAATTTTGAAATAAAAATAGTAAATTGTAGGTGA